TTTATGATAATATTATCATTTATTATGTTATCTGATTTGACCAGTCGAACCATGAATCTTTCCTTCTTCAGGTTTGTTATCCGTTTCAACTTTCACAATCTTGATTTTTTTAGAAGTTATAGTCAAACTGAATGTCTCAATAAGACTAACCCAACGATACCAAAAGTTATCCAATCCTAGCATGAAGGAGCCCAAATCAAGCACTTAAAGCATATTTAAAAACTTCAAACATTAATTGGATGACCAAATGATCTTCAAATTCGACATGAATTGAGTTGAACGGTTCAATGAGACGAATCCAACAAGTTCAAGATCACTTTTTTCTAACATCATTAATACGCTTATATGCTAGATACAAGATTTATAAACGAGAGAATCGATATGGACCGTACGATAGAGTGTTTTGTATTATGATAAATTACCATGCAAAATGCTCATCCAAAATAGCCTATAATAAAATCTCATTCTTCACATAGGAGGGGGAGGGAAAGATGAGAGAATCAGAGAGCTCTCTTGTATTGTTCAGCTATCGTCATTATAGACCACCACCAACTATTGCTATTGGCAATCATGATCGTCCTTGACAATCATCACCACCAATTACTGTAACCATTTCTAAAATTCTAACAATATTTAGCACTGATGTTGGGTATAACTGTCGGCCTATGGACACCTACTTTCAATAATCCCTATAAGAGAAATTAAGCCTTGTTGTTGGGTGTAAATTATCTATTTATGAAAACTTGATTTTTGCTAATCCCCATTAAAAAAAAAAAAACTCACTTCTTCAATTGTAAGAAAATAAGGATTCTTATATCTATTAATATATAGTGGATTAATCAACTGGGTCAAGCCTTATAGTTTTTTTCTTTTATTGGATTTTTCATATAAAAATATCGAGTCTTATCATTTTATTTATACATGCTAAATTTTTGTACAACACTAAAAAGTAAAACACACATTCTACCGTCTCAAATTTTTTTAGCACGTAATAAACTTAATTTAAATTTAGATATGTGGTTCATTAACACAAATAAAGATTAATTATTTAATATCAAACTCTCATAGATTAATTTAGTATTAATCCTTTTTTATTATCTAAATTTTAATTCTAATTCAAAATTAAATAGATAAATTTAGTTAGCTTTTATTAGGCTTATTATCCACTTGTCACCATAAAAAATATTTGAATTTCACATTATTTTTAAATCTACAATCTCATTAAAAAAAAAATTCAAATTAGTTAATTTTAAACCAAAGATTATTTAAAATTTTTATTACTTTTGAATCTAATAGTATGATAAATGCACTATATTAAAAATTTATATGAGATTAATTATTTATGAATAGACTAATAAAATTTATAAGAGCTTCATTTATCTTTTATCTCTACCAAAACTTAATTGATTTACCTATGTATTATGTACCTGAATATTTCTCTAGTAGTATTGTTAATTATGAGAGTATAATATGAATGAGTTTGAAGAGACGTATGAACGGTATAGATTCCCCCTTGTCATCACAGTTACGGCCATGATCTTGTAGGACTAGTGGCATCCAACATACCGTACACTGTGTAATAATGGCTCGTTGTTCTAACTCGTAGTGAAAGCAAAAGAGAATATTCATATGATTTTCTAAAACGTCCGAATATCCAGGGCTAAATTAAGTTATTTATTTTAAAATTTATCATTTTGCATATTGAGATTCTAGAAAGCTCAAGAGCTTAAAAAATCCTAAAGCTCCATTGAACCGCTAACATTGTCATTCAACGACCATCACCCGCATATGGTCCATCTACCACACTGCTCTATGGTCCTTCGACAACCATCTTCCGAATCCGGTCCTCAAACAAGCGTCATTTAACTATTATGTCTCGACTACATTCCTTTAACTATCATTTCTTGACTATAAATCTTTGACAATTGTGTAATATTCTAGAAAATTATAAAATTAATGATTCAACTGCAGTCAATTGGACTAAACCGACTAGTCAATTATGTTATTTAATAGTGCAAAGGAGTCAAAGATATTTATATATTAACTTTACAAGGAGAGAGAGAGAGACTAAGAGAAGAGAGGGAGAGAGAGAGAGAGAGAGAGAGAGAGAGAGAGAGAGAGAGAGACTAAGCAATGGTGGCAAGGATGATCGATGGGGAAAGGTTGCACACCTTTAAATCACAAGAGAAGAGAGAGAGAGAGAGAGAGAGAGAGAGAGAGAGAGAGAGAGAGAGACTAAGCAATGGTGGCAAGGATGCCAAGCAGGCCAATGTACTTGTGCGATCGAGAGTATAACACAATGTGTTAAGGCTAGCAATGATCGAAGCAACTCATGAAGTTAGGCGACATTGTAAGTGAGGTGAGTAGGGTGGAGCATCTTGTGACCCGTTGTGATAAAAGGGGAAGAAAACATAGAGCGACAGAGAAGGTTATGGTCTCCGAACGACGGCAACTCTACTGTGTTCGCCGTCTTGTTTTTGCCCAACGATAGCATTGAGGAGAGGAGAGAGCTCATAAGAGAGAAGAGTGAACCTTTAAAATCGAGAGGAGACAGGCGACTAAGCCAAATGGCGTCGGCAAGATGTCACAAGACGCCCAATGTTTTCGATCTCGAGCAGGTATGAAACACAGTAAGGGCGAAAGATCGAAATACGAACTCATGAGTTTAGGCGACAAGTGAATGGGTTGATGGGTGAGACGCATCTTTGATCCCGTTTGGAGTGATAAAATGAGCGAACATTCGAGGAATGCACTATAAGAAGACAATAACATAGCGGTTTTCTTTATATTTTATAATTGAATTTATATATCAGATCTTATTATTAGATAAATATTTGAAGTTTTATTTTTTCTTAAATAAAATTGTTTATTAGTTTAAGGGCCGAAAAGAAAGCAGTAGAAGAAGATATTTGATTAATTGTTTATACTATTAAAGCATTATATTAATTAATTATCCGCATGATATTAATTGAGATTTTAATGACATAATTAAAATATATAATCTTCTTTAAACTTAAAAAATTATATTTATAAATATAACAAATTTAAACCAAACGTTAAAATAAAATTATTAACGATAATTTCAATATTTTAAAATAGAAATTAATTTAATTATGTGATAATAAAAAAAACAAATTTAATAAATTAGTACAAATAAACTTGGCGCTCTAACGTACACGTGGCAGTATCAGGAAAGAGTTTCGTGACATAGGGTCCACCATAGCCCACGGCGGCTGCTGACTTCCAGTTTGAAACTCGGTGAGTAAATCTTTCCATCTAATTACCCTTACATACCTACAAAATTACAATCGTGCCAATATAATTCCGTTGAATTCACATCAATTATCCTTTGACGGAGAAAAATAACAGAAGTAAATATCTTTTTAAGATATTTTTAAGATTAAAAGTAATCCACCCAATATAAATTTGAAAGAGTCTTAGACGCAATATTTTTGCTTGTTTTGGCAATACTTATATTAGCTTTATGGAATTAAATTTAAAGATATTATTATTTATTATGAAAGGGTGGATTAAGTTAATGGATTTCATGAATTCTCATAAAACTTATGTAGAGATGAAATAATTTGTACTATAGTAAAAAAAAATTATTTAAATTAAAGTTATATTTGGCAAGCATTAGGTGCCCGTTAACAAGTAGAAATAATAGAGGTTAGGAGATATCATGTAATCTAATTTAATCATTCTTATTATATAAGGGGTGACCAAATGATCGAAAAGGCTTGTGCGGATATGTCTAAAAATTAGACGTCATTCTTTGATATGTATCCGTTGATGGTTGGTTGTCAGCTAACATCAAATGTTGAGAAATATCAGGCAAACTCACTCAGTGATTATATATCAATCAGTTGTTTGACGAAGATATTTGATTTATTCTAACGATGGGCACTGGGTCGTGTTCCAACATTAACGATCAGATAGTGGCTCAATGGTGATGGACTAATTGTGATAAAACTAAAGTGA